AGCCCGGGGCTGACGGGTGCAGTGCTCGAACAGGTCCCGCACCTGAACCATCAGAAAGGGACGATGACGTCGCGATTCGATGGAGAGGAAAAATGAAAAAAAAAAAAAAAAAAAAAAAAAAACTTTTCTACGCGCCTATATACACAATACAGAGCCCACTATACAACGTTCGAGGGGTACACACATTAAACGCACAATACGTAATTCACGCGTTAGTGGACGAGTGCACCATCGGTGCATACATTAACAGCTCCACCTACGCTATACCCATACAGCCATTTAAATTTCGGCACAAAAGGCGCTCAAACACATCCCATGCAAAATCATACGCCCCTCCCCGCGGTTAATACAGCGGGTGATTCTCGTTACAATGAAGAGCCCTTTGATATCAACGTTAATGGTGGTGTGCGCTCCTCATCGTAATAACCAGGAGTTTTCCCAATAACCGAGCGAACCGAGAACAACCGTACCGGTGAATCCTACTTATTATGTTCAACGGGGAGCAATATCGCGCGCTACATGCATGCATCCAACGATTGTCGCAAGCTGCGTGTAGGTGTAATGTACCGCGAATAACTTTACCGCGTCGCTACTCTACCGTACATACCCCCCCGGCTAATTGGATTATGTAACTTATGCGACTCGCGAGTAAACGATTATTACTGGGATTATCGGAGTGTCGCGACAGAGGCGTCAATCGCCGAAGGGAAGTGGGAAAATCCGATTGCACGGTGAAGAAGAAAATAGTGCTGGAAGTGCCGTTTGAGTGACGTTTATGGCCCCGGCGCGCGCAATATACGCTCCTTTATCTCTCTGGCGTCCCTCGTTTAAGCGAGTGGATTGTATATGTGTATAGTTGACGCGAAGGTAAAAAATAAACGGGAGAGAGCTCGTATGCTCGTTTACGGGCAGCCGTAGAGTTTGCTCTCGGTTGAAATATTGCGTTTTGGGAGGGTTACGTGCACAGTTTACGGACACCCTGAGAGATTGGCGATTACGCTCGGGCACGCGGCGGAGCGCGCACGTAATGATAATGTTATTTAACGCGGAGAGAGAAAGAAAAGCCAAGTGAGAACAATTATCAAGGAGATTGCGAGCTCGTTGGTTTTAACGCCACTGTACAAGTGTATGGGGTGTGGACTAATTGAAGGAGGAGGAGGAGGAAAATGGAGAAACGCGAAAGAGGAAGCCACTTAGCTTAACAAATTGGCTCTGTGTGTACATACAATAGGTTCGATTTTATTTGGTAGCTCTATGTGTGTACCTTATCAATTGTTTTTCGCTCCCACAATTGTACAGGTATACCACTTGGGAAATCGCTAATTTTGGAGATTAATACAGCGCAGCCGGCATAATTTTTCCGAATCGAAAAAGCTGCGTTCACTTACTTCACTTTCTAAAGCCACTCGCTATCTGTTTGCAGGGATCGTACTTACGATCGAGTGCTACTGCCACGGTGCATTGTTTTATCGCTTTTTAAGCCTCCGTTGACTAATACGTGCACTACACTCGTTCAGGTGTATCATAATAGCTTGATTGTAATTATAACGCCATCCTTTGTACCCCATATCCCACTAAGTAAGCAAGGAATGAATTTCCGATCCCACGAATTTGAATTACGTACATCGCGACGGATCTAAATTTACTTCCGATGGAGGGAGGGCCCCATCAGTTCTCCACGCGTAAGCTTTCGTTGTCCACATGTTTTATACACGTGTTCACAAATATACCACGGCATAACGATGACGGGACGAGACCTATTATCGGTGAAATTACGAGAGATTTCCGGCTGTTAACGAGGACCCGAGTAGGGCAGACCAAAAGCTGTACACTGTTGCGACGTCGCCTCGCCCATCACTTGTGTATATAGTCAGTCGTGCAGTTTCCAAAGTCGTGTTCTTCCTCCTGCCAGTCTCTACCTACTTTCGATCAATGGAGGGATTAGTAGATGGACAACGTGGCTTTGAACTCTAAAATGTTCACACACCAATTGGTAAACTAGTACCAGCACGTTAAAAGTTCATTGCCGATTCAAACGGACGACCTTGCCTATTATTCGCTGCACTTACCAATTCCATCAATTTAACACAGCTCACATTAGCACGCCCCATGCCCCATTCGAATTTTCAGCACTAATAACGGTTGAAACGAGTCAGGGCAACGTTACATCCCATTAAATATGAAATTTCGTTTCGGTAATCGTTACGTGTCCCCCCCCCCCATCCTCATTTTATGTATAATGGCACGAGCAAACAAAAAGAATTCACGGTAGCCCCGTGTATACGAGCTAACGAGCGACTTCTCCCAATGAAATTTTAGCACCGGATTATTACCACCAGCGCGCATTTGAATAATCGACAGCGATACCGTCATTCGGTTTGTTGCCGGGAGAGAAGTTGAGAAAAGTGCCACGCGATGGCGATGATAAAAAGACTCGAGGGGTTGAAAACCGTTAGGTGCGACGAAGGAGATAGTATATGTACCATCGCTACTGAAATGCGGAGAAGTCCATACGGTAAAATCGGAAAGGGCAATCGGCTTTATTTCCCTCTCGAACCGCCCGTGCGACCGTAGTATCCTCGTGGCGTAGAAATACGTGCGCTTCTACCTGTCGATTGAACACCATTTCAAACCAATACCGGCCCGTCATCGTTTTCATATGCACGCATCGGTGTACCAAAAGCTCTTCAATTACATGCAAAACGGTCGCTCCGAAATCAGACCGCAAGTGCTGTTCGCTGATTCGCGTATTGTGCGCGGACCCACTCGCTCCTGCGGGCCGAGTGATTTTGGATTCGCAAATGAAAAGGCTCGAGCCCAAAACATTGAGACATAGTTGTACGCAGCAATCAATTCGACTGCGTGATTGTTAAAAAAGGGCCTTGAAACACAATAGTGAAAAAATAAATAAACGTAACAACAACAAAGCTAATATCGCGGGAAATCGGTAGGGGGAGGATCGAGGCTATTCGAGAGGCGGTTCCTCCCTGCCCACGGGTGATTTCGTCCTGTATCGATAAATCGCCTACACGTGGAGAAGGGGTAAGACGCAATAGGCGAGTATACACAAAAAAACTGTACACAATGGGTACAAACGAGCCTTGGGACGGGAGAAAGATGGGAAGAAGAAAAGAGGTAGATACGAGCGAAGAAGAGGCGGGATGTAGTGAAGAAATATATATATATGCGCATGCATGTATAATGCATCGGGTAATGTAATGTGCACTCACCGCGTAGTATGTAATTTTGGTAATTCTGGTCGGCCTCGCTGCCGACCTTGATGAGACACGCCAGTCCGTCATTCTGCACGAACTCGTGAACCAGATCCTTGTCCTCCTGAAACACACAGATCGACATCTCCAGTTTAACAACACGTTGCATTTCCTCCAACCGATTCGTTTGTTGTAAAAATAAAAAAAAATAAAAAAAAATATCCATCTCCAAATAACCTTTTCAAAAACCGCCATGGACGAATCCTCCAACATACGATGGACACGGGCGCACCACACACAGCCGATCAGTCAGAAAGCAATCACGGCAATCTCGAGCAACGGTTAAAAATTCATCGACCCACGCACGGGCCAACGGCACGCGAGCTCAATGATACCATCGGAGCCACTCTAAATCATCGTCCTCCCCGGAGTCTATATATACGTACAGCGCAATGAAAACGCAGCTAGATCTTACACCACCACCGCCATTATTAATTATCGCCTGCGGAACTCAGAGATCCGGGGAGCTCGGCACCTTCCTCGAAAAGCTCGAGTGACGAGGGCTTCGGGGCAAACCCCCGCACCCACTCGATAAGACGCAATCAATTAACTTCCACAACTTCTCTCCTTCTCGATCCGGATTCGCGAGCTCATCGGTTACAACGCCCATACCCATCCCTCCCACGGGACCAATGAGAATACGACCATTGCCGCAGAGTGCGAGTTGGATCGGCCTCGAAACGGAATAGTTGTTGCTATTCCCTCATCGAGTTTGCGCCCGTTCGAGCATACATAGGCACACTTTGCCCGCAGTTTCCAAAGAGTGCCGGGGATATAGGGCTTTTAGCCCTGCGTATTCGTCCTAGTCCTGGATTCCCCCCGGCCTTTCCTGATAAACTTCCTCTCTCTCCCGCTTCTGCGTTGGTTTACCAGTGAAAAGCTCACTCGTGCTTTGATATTTCGGTCTCGTCTACCCTGCGTATGCATAACGCGTTCAGAGAGCTCCGTTGATCCCCCATGCCCCCCAGAAAAGTTCCTCCGGCACAAATGGCACTGGAAAGTTCGTGCCGATATGCGTACGTCGGAGCAAGAGAAGGGAGCATCCCTACGCCCGTAACACAGACAGACGATCCGAAAGCTTATTGCAGCGCGTTGCTAATGAAATTAGTTTGGTACACGGATCTACGTATGTAGGCACATTGTGCGTGGGTACCGTGCGATCTGTACCCAACAAGTGGGTGCCTTTGCAGTAACCCAAATGAGTACAGCACACGCTTTCGTTGCCATACCGTAAAGGAGAGAAAATGACGCGTGTGCGCCTATACGTTTATATATATATATATATGTGTGTGTGTACGCGAGCACAGCCGGTCAATGACGCGTGTACGCCCAACGCGAGGTATGCGAGATAGCGCGGGTGTGATAACGCAAATTGCCAAGAGGTGAGGGAGATAAAACTCCCCCGCCCCTCTCACGCCTATCCCCGAGACGGGGGCACGCGAGAGCATGTGTTGCAGTGAGAGTCGTTTCTGGTTTTTTTCTTTCCTTCGTTTGTCCTCGATGTGCCTGGATCTCGAGAAACCGGGGCATGAATGTTCAGGTGTACACTGACGCATCGGCTTAATCGATTTGGCTGGTTGTCTCTGCGGTTTGTCGTTTGGGTGCGCTCGGTATAGCAAGGACAACGGCAGCAGAGGAAGACACTCGCGACTATGCATGAAGTAGAACACAACCCGGGAGCTGTTGCTGCGAGGTATATGCATTGGCAAGAGCGTAATGCGCGCGAGAGGAAAATTAATGGCAGGGAAAAATGGGAGGGAAAAAAATAAAGAGCGAGCGAGGAAAAGGTGATGGTCGAGCGCGGGGTAACGCGCCTGTTCGTCCTTGAACCAATTCCTCGGGCGATAAGCGAGTCACGTCGCTGTCGTCGGCTCCAAACTAGTACACCGAGGGAAAACAAACGAGTGGGGTTTGGCAATGCTCCTAACGATTTTGCGGGGTGTGGACTTTTTTTTGTTTTTGACTTGCTTAAAGCGATGCTTGAACTAGGCTGCCGGAAAAACGATTTTATGCTGACAAGTATCGCCCAACTTTAAATCAGCATACATGTGTCTAGCATAGTGGAAAAATCGGTTTATGTCCATACAGCACTAAAATTGAATGATGGACACTGGGAGCAATTAAAACGAAACAAAAAACCAATGGAAAGAAAAACATGTTCCCTTAAAATATAATAATTTAATTTGTAATACCACATTTTCGAAATCACAATCATCTCACGGTTCTCAATAGATGTAAAACTATAAAATGTTTTATCCAGCGTTTTATATATAATATTTCCCGAATGAACTGATGAATTTTCGTGAATTCAAAAAAAAAAAAAAAAACACACATCCAAGTGCACATTTTTTATTTAAGTCAGTAGAAACATTTTTTTTTTTTTTAATCGATGAGGATAAAAATAAAAATCGATCCAACAAAACTAGGTACCCAAACGATTTTGTTCAGCATATTCCGATACAAACTTGTCACTGATAAATCTCACTCCATCTTGATTATAAAACACGGTCTGTCGCGAGATCTTACCAATCCTCCCAACTCACAACGCAGGTGTTACACGTTCCACTCGATCATCCGGATCATCGGAAGACATTGAAATGCACTCAGCACTGCTCTTTAACTTTCAGTTTTTTTTTTCTCTTTTTAATCCACGACGCGACATTCAATCCATCATCCACCTCCAAACGTACGACACATCAGAGCTAACAAATATTCGAAAATCAACAATAAAATCCATACGTTAATTTTACTCTGGTGATACAAAGATTTTACCAGATATTAAAATTAATCGCTGCTCGATTGATTTAGTAGTTGCTCGTTAGGTGCAGCCATTTTCCTCCTGTTACCCACGACAATAGCCATACATTTTTTTCCACCCGAGATACTTCACCGCTAGCAACTTTACTCGGAGGCACGATAAATACCCCACAAAACAACCAAGGAACGAAAGTAGGGCAAACTGCATTATTATTACTACGGAGACAGAAAAACAGAGACGGACGTGCGCGCCCGTACAGTGCAAGGCTTAATAATCATCGCGAGCTTCGTTGTCAGCGATAAGAGAGACGCGAAAAAAAGGCTCGAGAATCCGTCCGGGAAAACGAAGAAAATCGGTGCATTGTACATATTTATTCAGCCGTACAAATAGAGAAAAAGCAACGCCTATTGGGAGCGCGATTCCTCGATCGGTAAGTATCTCGAATAGACACCTTGTGGTGAGGTGGTTGGTTGGCTGCACCACCTCGACTATTCCGAGCTGGATATAATGGTGTGGACGCAGCACGTGTAAAATCGCGGATGTATTTTCGAAACTCGCGCGGGGGGAAGCAAAAACAGTCGAACGTAAAACAAAGAAAAATCTATTGGGACACGCGCGACGAGCTGGGGCGCCACACACGTATAAACCCCCTCGAATGCGAACACAAAAATATCTAATACACCTATGTGTGTATGTGCAACTCGCTCGTTTCCTTACTCGTGCGGGTATACCATCCCACATGCATGCAAAATGTATACGACAGAGACAATAAATGTACACACTCACCTGAAAGATCTGCTTGAGGGAGAAGAGAGCCCGTCGCAGCTCGCGGCCCTCGCTGTTCAGCAATTTTTCTGCAACAGACAAGCAACACGCAACCATTTATTATAATAATAGCGGGCGAGCCTCCACTCCTCGTCGTCGTCGTCGGGGCCATTGTCATGTATATGTTTGTGTGTGCAGGGTCGGGGGAGTCTTATATCCCTCCTGGGTACATTGTATTGGGCTGATCAGTCGAATCATTTTTTTTCTTTTTTTTTTTTTTTTGTTGTCTCTTTTCATACGGAGAGGATCGAGACTTTTCTCTCTTTTTTTTTTGTTTTTATAGAGCTGCTGACTTTTTTGGAGGCTGTTGGTATATTACTAACGAGGTCGTGGCTCTATTTTCATCAAAGTACACCTTGATCACGGGCTCAAAGCTTGTTCAGACGCAAGAAAATTCAATGATCCGATGTATGTACTACCTTCTCAGGGTCTGATTATACGTGCACCCAAACGTAGTATAATTAATTAATCAAACTATTTTTTTTTTTTTTTTTTGTTACCCGTGACGAAGGGACAACGCGTTAATTACCAGAACCCGTCAAAGGAGGCCAGCTTGATTGCCGATTCAGCGCCAACTTTATAGCTCGACAATTTTCTCATACCTTCGGAAGGATAAAAATCAAACACTCGCACGCAAACTCAAGGGAAAAAAACTCCAATAAGCGCGTAAAGTTATTGCTCGCAACTACAACGAGAAACCACCCAACGACGGACCGGTCGAAAAAAAAAAGACCGCGAAATTTAATTTTCATAACTCTCGCCTTACAACTTTTTACCCTCTCCGCTACCGGCAACCCGTGCGAGTGAGCATTCGTCCCTGACGAAAGCTCTGTCGTTGCAAAGTAAAAAAAGAAAAATCGCTAATTACCCAAAGAAAGGGTATAAGAAAAGAAGCGAGGGGGTGGTATAGGTATTACTGCGGGCGTTCAATTCCGCTAGCCGATGACGGTGGAGACCTTTAAGAGTGCACTAATCCGGCAAATGAGGTTCGATACCGCCTCCTACGTACGGAAGCGTGTAATTAACTAACGTTAATTGCCGGCAAAAACTTGCCGCGAGCACTGGCTCGCGAGAGCGAAAAAGGGAATTGGCTGCGATGCGTGTGTACACGGGGAGTGCTTTGGCTGCAACTCGATACAATGAAATGGCTGTTGCGAGGATTATATTGTAATTTCTTGCGAGCCGGGGGTGGTGCACACTGGCACTTGGTCCCTAGGTTTTAATCAGCTTTCCGAGAGGGTAAATTGAGAGAATTTGCGACGCTGATTGTTTTCCCGAAAACTCGTTACTCCACTGCGAGTGTTTTTTTTTTTCTTTTTTTTTTCCCACGAACTCTATTCCGTGATAGTGGGGTTGTTGTGCTATCGCAAAAAGGCACCACGTGCGTCTATACGTTTACTTATTTTCTATGCATTACGTTGCACGGTAAACTTTATTACAAATGCAGTAGTTTTGAGTATACGTGCGATTTTTTTGTTTTCCTTCACAGCCATGCAATTTGATTTTAATTGTGTATACTGTAAAATGATTTTTTTTTTCTGTAACAGAAAAGTTTTATAACAAAGCTCTGGTGTTTTTCTTGTCTTCGGGTATGCGTTACACGCTTTTTATTACATATATGTAATTCTTCATGAATCATATAAAACAAGTAAAAAACAAAAAAGTGTATAAAAAGATTGCACTGCAGAGATCGATTTCACTCGTGAACGCGAAAATTAATGTAGACAGTTTCCGGAAAAAAATTACGAGTAAAAAATAGCCAAGTGACCAAGGAACTTGACCGAAACCCACGTGCCTGCCATTCGTCACGCTCGATGGAAAAAAAAAATCTATCGAGGAATAAAAATCACTATACCGCACGGCTTGCAGTCGGCAATTTTTCACAAACCCGGTTGTATGAAAAATTAGGTACGAGGAAAAAAAACAAGTGACTACATCTATTTAAATCCTTTTTTTTTTTTTGAACCTGTGTAATATTATCATTTTGATTGTAGAAGTATGGAAATACTTTGTTTTTGGGTATAGAAATAAAATTTGAGCCCAGTTTGATGCTAAATTTACGAGGTGGTCGTCATCCATACACCGGTTATACATTTACCTCTAGTGAATTAGTGGAGGCTAAAAAAAAAGCCAAACACGCGTGCGATACAACCTGATCGGAAAGAGCGACCTGTACCTTGACGTGCAGCACTGAGGTAATTACGGGATGCTTATTAATTTTAGCCCCTGCTCTTGTGCTCTAATTTACGCATTGTACAGGAAGGAGAAAAGCTCTCGCTATAATTTCCTCCCTTCCGGTGGTGGTGATACGACTCCCATCGATTTTTTACTCACATTTATTATACACGCGTACAAGTGCTCGTGTACAGTATACCAGCACATGGGATTCGTACTTGCGAAAAGCGTGGCATTTACCGATACATTGATGTTATATGGATTTAATTAAAAAATTACGAACAATTATTTTAAAAATCACCTTTGACATTTGCACCGGTGGACTTACGCAGGACCCTCTGTTTTCCTCCACCGGTGATCAACAGCTACTCCTATTGCTCAAGATTCAATTGTTCCCCGAGTGAAGCGTGTGTACATATATACGCTTCCGAGCGTCAGGCTCCTTGTGGCGTAATCGAGTTTCGTGTTACTAAAATTGGCTCGAGTTGAATCGAGTTTTTCTGTGACGTAAAGTGTGCACTCGGTTAATGGTTTAAGTGACCGAGAGACGGAAACGCGCGTAGAGTTACCAATCTGTGGGCCCTGCAATAATTACGGCCGAGCTAAAGTGACGATCGACGAGAGTCCATTAACCGCGCGGAGAAGGTTGTAAAATCGTTCGTGCAGGGACATATTTGATACAATCGTTGCGATTCGGCCACGTGGAATTTTTTTTACCGTGTTGTACATACATTCAAATACGTTTTTAATAAAAAATAAAACGAGACGAACAATATTTGCGTAAGGTGATTAGCGTTACTATCGATATCTGTATATGGCCGTTCAAATGGGTCGGGTTGCAACGGTGTATAGGTTAGCAAACGAGAACGGCAACAAGCGTTTGCGACCAAAATGCCCAAGAGAAAGAGCAAAACCCATGAATGAGATAAAATAATAAATAATTAGAAAATCTGATTACTTTAAAATTATCTAGAGCATTTTTTTTTTAGTACGAGTTGAGTTGTTTCGAAACTAAAGTGTCTCATCGTCAAACTCATGAATTTCCGTCTCACAAAGATTTACTTGGATTTTTTATCCAAAAGTATGATTAAAATTTGTTTGACGAGCCATATGTAATGTACATTTGGCGCGACAAGTAGAAATCCGAAGACTATATCGGCAATGTGGAGTGCCCCGTCGCACAGTCAGACACGGAAATTAACTGAGGGATTCAAAGACTGCATGGAGATGGCCTGGCGCGACGTGAGCGGAAATTGAAAAACATTTAGAACTAGTCCCTTGCTGTACTCGATGATTTAGATCCCAAACTTACGGGTACGTCATTTGTGATAGATTTGTGACTGTGCCTATACATCAAAACTCGATATATCGCTGATAGTTTCGTCAAACCAAGTGAACCTGACACACGTGTTTTGACTCTTTGGAAAAATATGTGTCCTCACAAGTGCAGCCTATTCGCCATAAAACTACTTAAACGGTGCCGTAAGCAATCGATAAACGGCCAAGAGAGAGAATAAAATAAAAAGGGGACAGTATAAAGTCAGCGTTTCGCGGGAGCGCGAGTACCCATCTCTCGGTGACATTACCCCCCCCCTCTCCCAGTTTACGACCCACCGACCATCGTGCCTCATCCTCGGTGACAACGCGCGTAGAGAGACAGAGAGCGGAGAAATGAAGTTTATAAGGCCCCGTCGAGGAAATAAAGCCCCCCGAAGGGGTCACCGCGGGCATGGAGCGCGTGATTTTACGAGTCTCGACTATCGTCGTCATCGCGTAAGTGGAATGGAAACTTCGAGTGTACTGTGCGTGGACGAAAGTAGGTCTCGTTGCAGCTTGTCTTACGAAGACGTTATTTAACGGATCCCCAAAGAGCTATTACTTTCGCTCCCCTCTGTTTATGCTGATGGGCTTTCCTAACGTGCAATCGTCATGTGTCTTTGCAAAGAGAAAGGAAGAGTGGGATCCACCTATTTCTATACTAACGCATATAAGACAATAATGGAAACCAACATTTTTTTTTTCCAACTTTAAAAATTACGAATGACACCTCGATACGCGTACATACGGACGGAAGAATAACAGAACAGCAAGCACGTGTACGTGCGTCCCTAGGAGAGTTTCCCACGCGATTGGTGGGTACTCCTAATAATCACCCCAGCGATATCGCGTGTATGTACTTACTTTGCTCTGTTCTCTGTATATTGTATGCTGTATAGCTTACACGACCCACACTGTCTCCCGTCTCTCGTTTCTATACTCGTGCCAGGAGAAGCGTCGAGAGCGAAATGCAAGCATATACGGAAGAGAACTGTCGGGGCACGTGTGTATGATGAAGGATCGCGAGTAGGGGCTCCGTCTATCATTTTGACGGATTTACATAGAGAAGTTGTAGCGGGTACTTTTGACGTACACGTGGTAATGGTATTCCCCTCTCCGGGGTTAAACAATTTTTCCTTACCGTTTTCGCTTTCCGTGATGGAATGTATATATATACACGCGTTGTCAAGTACAATTCACCAAATCGTCATCTCAATTTTTTTTTTTTTTTTTTTTTTTTCGAGCGTCAAATTTACTATTTCCGCGCACGCAGCGATCGCGAGGAGATAACTGGAAACAAAGATACAAGACATTGCGGGAGGAGCGAAAAGAAGAACCCGGAGGTGGGGGTGTGGAGGTCCAAAGTGGTAATTAGGAGCTCGCCGCGGGGTCCGAGTGCCGAAAAGCAGTCGAGCTGCTTCCCCTTCCCCGGGTTTGATTGTTCCTTTTTGCGTAGCGGTTTCTCGACAGCCCGTGGCTCTCCTCGATGACTTTGCACCCACGCGCCGAAAATCGCGTCGACAGCTCGTAAACAAGC